CACATGCGTTAATCGCGTTAAAATAATTAGTGGCGTTAATTTTTGTTTGCGTTAACGCGTTATTAACGCGTTAACTTGACAGCCCTAGTTTAATTACACATATGCGCACTAAATGACTGCTATTGTGACAGTAGTGGGACCTTAGCATATATATAGGATATATATACAATATATACAAATACACAATGTTGGACACAGACTATTAAGGGCACAAAGTTTCATTCACTAATGAAAGTCAAACACATGTTTGTTTCCACTGTTTTATTGTGTGCATAGGCCTGTCGCGATAAGCAATTCATTGACTTATCGTATGATAAATAAAAATGAACTCGATAACTTTTCTGAACTCGATAAATTGCCATTTACATGAGGATGTGACTAGCAGTTTGAAAGTATGTACTTGAATTATTATTATATATTATCATTATGTCAGTGATGGCGCACACAGCACGATGGCGCACACAGCAGCAAGCTCAGACAGCGATGACAGTTTAATTTTGAACGTGTCTGAGAGCTCATATGAGGCTGAAGGATCGGAAAGTGATAGTCATGACATCGTAGACGATATTGGCTATATGCCCTACAGATTCTAACCATATGCCTCTGAGTCTGAATCGGATGAAACGAACTCCGAGTCGGACAGTGGAGACGACAACCCGCCCGACGATCGTGAGATACCTCTCGATCTACAACACTTGAACAATGTGGAATGGTTTGTAAACTATTTTATTTACGGAGTTTAACTAAATAACGATTCTCTTTTAAAATAATGGCAGTGGACACTAATCAGTTTATGTTTTATCTGTTAGAAGTTTAGGAATTAGGTGCGTCAATATGGGCGATAATACGGTCATGTAGCCAGTGGCGGACTGGGACTAAAAATAAGCCCGGGACTCTCGACCGGCCCACTTCGGTACCGCTAGTAAATTGTCAACGGGGGGAGTGGGGGATGTGCTAGTGACTTAAGTGGGCCGGTCGGATAAGTCAGTCCGCCTCTGCACCCAGCCCAGCCCACGTAAACTGTCAATGGGGGGAGCCTCGCTGCGGGGAAACGGTGGACCTAGTGTCCCGATCGGAGTGGGAATAATAATAATAATCATAAATCATAATCCGTGCATTTTATCCATTAATTTCCCCAACATTGTGGTAAAAAAAACACACGTTTAATCCACGTTGGTGTACTACAACTACAAAAAGCATCGGTTTGTTTTTTCATCAGGAAATGCAGACCGGCTCAAACGATTTTTAATCATCATCCTCACGATCATTTAATGTATCATATGTTCGCCGAATTGACATGAAAGCACTAATAAATGTAGTTTAATCCACTTGAGTTTACAACTACAAAAATAATCGGTTTGTTTTTATACCACATCCGACGGGAGGAAATTCAGCAGCTCTCACTACCGATTTTTAATCCTAATTTAATCATCATCTTCACGATCATTTATGTTTATGTTCGCCGAATTGACATGAAAGCACTGACAAATATGAATATACTGTAGTCAACTTCATTAAAACGTTATTAACGTGCCTAAACTCAGTAATTCACCATTTCTACGCATGACAACACACTTTGTCCGTGTTTGGCTCTCTCGCCGCACAGTGAAGCATTCCCGCATTGACGTCACTTCCGGCTTCCCCCAAAACTTCAAAATGAGTCGAAGGAATTTCCCCGCGATGTTCGAAATTATTGATATTTATCGGAACGGTATCGCACCTTCTTTTTTAAGCTGACGGTTCGAGATTACTAGTAGCCCAATATTTCATTGCACAACAGTTGTTGGGAGGCTGTCACAGGCTCTTTAATGTGTGTGTTGTCAGTGTGATCTGATCACATGTCTGTGCTCCTGCTGTCAGTTACCAAAGAAACAGAAATTAAATAAATCACGTGACATTATTAGAGATGTACATGCTTTCTCTGATAACTGTAAGTCCTGCTGTGTGGTGTGATCACATGCTGAGAAACCTCTCAAGTCCTTCATGTGTTTGACATGTCACCTCCATCACTCAATATGAAGAGAGGAACGCTTCAGTTTAACTATTATTATAAATAAATAGAAGAACAGTGTTGGTTTATTTTGCCCTCAGTATTTAAACAGCAGAAATGTTATAGTGTTTATTTGAATAATTAAACTCCTGATCCACATTAGTTTATAAAGTTAATCACATCTGGACTTACTTGGCCTTCCTGCAGTTCCTCACAGCTGGAATCAGTCTCAGTTTCCCCTCCTTTGATGTGTTGTACTGACTCAGGTCCAACTCATCCAGAACCTCCTCTGACATCTGCAGCATGTAGGCCAGAGCAGAGCAGTGGATCTCAGAGAGTTCCTTCTCTGATCTGTTCCCTGACTTCAGGAACTCTGTGATCTCCTGATGTACTGAGTGGTCCTTCATCTCTGTCAGACAGTGGAAGATGTTGATGCTCCTGTCAGGAGAGGATCTACTTCTCATCTCCTTCAGGTTGTTGATGGCTCTCTGGATGGTTTCTGGTCTGTTGTCTGTGCGACCCAGCAGGCCTCCTAACAGTCTCTGGTTGGACTCCAGAGAGAGGCCGTGGAGAAAGCGGACAAACAGGTCCAGGTGGCCATTTCTACTTCTGAGGGATTTCTGCATGGCTCCCTTTAGGAAGACATCCAGGGATGGGTAATCCTGATCACTGCTGGTGTAATAGTCTCTCTGCAGGAAGTTATTCAGTACCTCTGTGTCTCTGTTGGTGTAACAGTGCAACATGTAGACTGCAGCCAGAAACTGAATGCTCAGATGAACAAAGCAGTAGACTGTTTTCTTGAATATCACACTCTCTCTTTTGAAGATCTCTGTACAAACTCCTGAGTGCACCAAGGCCTCGGTGACACCAAGACCACAGCGCTGCAGGTCTTCTTGGTAGAACATGATGTCTCCTTTCTCCAGATGTTCAATCGCCAGCCTCCCCAGCTTCAGAAGAACCTTCCTGTCAGCCTTCATCAGCGTCTGTGGACTCTTCTTCTTCTTCTTCTTCTCCTTCTTCTTCTTCTTCTTCTTCTTCAGCTGCTGTGCACTCGTCTCATGGCCCTCTTCATACTTCTGCTTCTTCCTCTTGGTCTGGACCAGCAGGAAGTGTGAGTACATGCCAGTGAGGGTCTTGGGCAGCTCTCCTCTCTGGTCTGTAGTCAACATGTGCTCCAGAACTGCAGCAGTGATCCAGCAGAAGACTGGGATCAGACACATGATGTGGAGGGTCCTGGAGCTCTTGATGTGAGAGATGATTCTGCTGGACAGGTCTTCATCACTCGATCTCCTCCTGAAGTACTCCTCCTTCTGGGCGTCAGTGAAGCCTCGTACTTCTGTTACCCTGTCCACACACCCAGGAGGGATCTGATGGGCCGCTGCAGGTCTGGAAGTTATCCAGACGAGAGCCGAGGGAAGCAGATTCCCCGTGATGAGGTTTGTTAGCAGCACGTTGACTGAGGACTGCTGTGAGACATCAGACACAACCTCATTGTTTCTGAAGTCCAGAGAAAGTCTGCTTTCATCCAGGCCATCAAAGATGAGCAGCACTTTGCAGACAGCCAGCTGCTCTGCTGTGACCTTCTGTAAGGTTGGATGGAAAACATGGAGCAGCCTGAGAAGACTGTACTGCTCACCTTTGATTAGGTTCATCTCCCTGAAGGAGAGCGGGATCACCAGACTGACATCTTGGTTTTCCAAACCCTCGGCCCAGTCCAGAGTGAACTTCTGCACTGAGAAGGTTTTTCCAACGCCAGCGACTCCGTTGGTCAGGACCGCTCTGATGTGAGTCTGTTGGTCAGGTAAGGCTTTAAAGATGTCCTGGCACTTGATTGGAGTGTCATGGAGGGGCTCTTTCTTGGAAGCTGTCTCCAGCTGCCTCACCTCATGTTGGGTATTAACCTCTTCACTCTGGCCTTGTGTGATGTAGAGCTCAGTGTAGATCCTGTTGAGGAGGGTTTCACTTTGATCAGTTCCTTCAGTCACACGTTCACATCTCCTCCTCAGACTGAGCCTATGTTCATCTAAAACCTCCTGCAGACCACTATCTGCTGGAAGAGAAGGAAACATGAGAGAATCAGGAAAAAGCTTTTGAGAATCTAATTATAAAACAACAAAAAAACAGACTGAGTTTAAATGTTTTATAAAATAGCTTACTGTCTATGCTCTACAACAGAATACCTCATCAAAAACAAATGAACCAGGAAGAGGAATAAAATGCTGCATGAGTTCGGCCTCTTACCTATCCTAAGGGAGTGCATGTACGTAGACACGTTGTGCCTCTCCACCTCTGTTCCTTACTTCTTACTTGCTACCCCTTATCCCTCAACCTATCCTAAGGGAGTGCATGTACGTAAACACGTTAGTTTTGCTGCTATAGGCTTAGACTGTCGGGGGACACCTTACTTCTTCCTTCTCTCTGTCTGTACCTGTGTACTCTCATGTTCCCAATAACCCAGCTTCCCCAAATTTCTTTTTGGTGTCTATCTACGCCGGGATCCTAAGTCGAGGCTGACCCTGTTGCTGTGGTCCTGTGTCCTGGATCCTCTATCCTGAGTTCTGGATTGAGACCTGGACTTCGAGTCGTGGCTGAACCTGTCTCTGTGGTCCTGCCTGACTCTCATCATACTACTTCCCTGATGGCTCCCACAGGATTGTTGACATCCTCGTGGATTCATCTTCTTATTATAGACACATGCATTTCCAAACATTCGGTCTACCTAAGTTGTAAATGTATTATCTCTTCGATTTACACACGGCATCTATTGCACGTCTGTCCGTCCTGGGAGAGGGATCCCTCCTCTGATGCTCTCCCTGAGGTTTCTCCCATGTTCCTTTAAACTGTGGGTTTTTTCTCTAGAAGTGTTTCCTTGTACGATGTGAGGGTGTAAGGACAGAGGGTATCGTATTGTCACTGATATTCTGTACAAACTGTGAAGTCCACTGAGACAAATGTAACATTTGTGATATTGGACTATATAAATAAACATTGATTGATTGATTGATTACCTCGTACAGAGCTGGTCTGACTGGCAGGACTTCTCCTCTTCCCTCTGTGGAGATGAACACATCCTTTACAGCACTTTACATTAGTGGAGCTGATTCTCACCAATGGGCAGAGCGTCACAAACGTTACACTCAAGATGAAATGTGTCACGCTGCACGAATACGCAGGTGACATGAATTTGGTGTTGCCAGGCACGGATCTGGGTCTTTGCATTGACTCTACATGTAATCACACAAAACTCTGTTACATGCCCAAGTAGTGAATAATGTTTTGGCCGATATATTTAGTTTTGAGTTGGTATTTATCAATATTTCTTCCATTTAAAACCATTATATAATTTATATAGCGCCTTCTGTTTGTGTGTCCCCCACTTTTCAAATGTGTTTTTTTTTACGCAAGCGGTCATCGTCACGGAGGAGCACACAATGTATCTGTGTGAGTGTGCGAGCGACAGAGAGAGAGAGAGAGAGAGAGAGAGAGAGGAGAGAGAGAGAGATGAGATGAGCGAGAGAGAGAAGAGAGAGAGGAGGAGAGGAGAGAGGAGAGAGAGAGAGGGAGAAGAGAGAGAGGAGAGTAGAGGAGAGAGAGATGAGAGAGAGAGAGAGAGAGACAGCGCACCAGTTACGTGGGTTGTTGTTAGCATCTGGTGCTAGCATCTGGTGCTAGCTCGGAGCTAACGGAGATTAGAAGCTGTTTCAACAGTAAGGAGAGGGAGAGCTCTCTCCTGTGGGACTGAGAGATCACGTCAGCTCAGGGAGGTAAAGAACTCTCTGAGGATTAGGTTGTAAACTGTAGTCTAAGTGATCTCAGTGGCTCTCAAACGGTTTGCTCATCTTTGTAAACAAATATTTCCATCTATGTAATATTGGCCTAGTTGTAAAAATAAGTTAAGAAATCATTCCAATATAGGTCAGTAAAAAATAAAAGACACAGTTTGAAAGGGGAGTGATTAGTAAAATATGCATAAATAAAAAGAAAGAATGCAGACTAGGTAAGATAAAGATAGGAGAGAGGAGTTTATCATATATGTGTTATTGGTTGTGAGCATATTGATATTCTAATGGCTTTTTGATTATTTAAATATATACAGTTCCGTTTCATATTAGTGTTATGTATCCATAAATCTCTTAATTTTGCCCTCAAAGGGCATCAGATTGATGCCTTTAACTTCAATTTAAAGAAACAAATCTTCCCGGGGGTGCATGCCCCCGGACCCCCCTAGAGGAGGTGAGGTCATCACAAATAAAACGGGTTCACATGGATAGGATCAGCGTTTCTGCCAGGGGGGCGTCTTGCCGTCAAAAAAATTAATAATTTGAGAGAAGATCGAGAGCTTTTATCGCTTGAAATGACGAAAAGGAAAAAGGACAAGGACATCGCTCTGTTGGAGGGGCAAAGGAGTCTGGTGGGATTATTTTCGCCGCCAGCAAAGCGCGTTCCTGTGACGGAAAAAACACCGCCGCATCTTCCAAGGACCATGCCAGGAGGGGTGTCCCTGTCGGCAGGGAGACGTAAAGAGATAGTAGGCTATAAGGGACGGCTCAATTCAAATTTGTTAAGATCACTGTTTCGGATTGCGGAAAAAGGTAGGACCCAAAAGCAGACTACAAAAAAGGTAAAGGTCTATAAACAAAAGCGAGCTTTATTTAAAAGCTGAAAAAACAAAAACATGTCATGAATCGAAAAAAACATAGATAGTACAAGGTAAAACACACAAAACTGACCGTGACCAACCGACGAGAAAACACAGGAAAAGACAAGACTAAATACAGGGAGGGGGTAATCAAGGAACAAGAACAGCTGGGTAAAGGAGGGAGAAACACAAGGGCAACAGGTGAACACAATCAGACAATCAGACCACACCAGGGAAACTAACGACAGGGGAGGAAAACACAGGGAGAAGGACCAGACAAGAAACAAGGAGGAAAACATGAAACAGGGAGAACAGAACAGCAAAATAAACCCAAACCTAGACATACAAAACTAAAAACGTGACATAACATAAGAATCGTGACAAAATTCACAACGTGACGTCACACACACCAACCCAGTCTCACATCTAAACGTGTAATAACTACGTTGGTCCACAATTTGGGATGTAGTATTTCTACAAAAACGCCTCTTAAATCGTAGGATCCCTACGTTTTTTTTCCACCATTAATTTCCAATGGCTGGCGTCTATGTCACGTGATCTTCAACTTTCTCTCCGCAGAAATAAAAAAACATGGCCGACCTTCGTTTTATTCCCGGTAGAAAATGCCTATTTTAAGGTTAGTTTGGCCATTAAAATGCGTTTTGATGTCATTTGATGCGAGAAATATGAGTTGTTATTTCAGATTATGTGTGCAGTGGATGTACATGATCTTTAGTTTGCTAGTTATTATGAAGAATACTTCAGGAAATTGTTTAAATACAACGTTTTCATTGTTACCAAGGTGGTTGCTAGGGACGCTACTATCGATATTATGTCTGTTATGTTGTGTAACTGTTTAATGGTGTTATCTTTATTGCTACCCCCCTTCCCCGTCAATTTATAGTGTTGGTCCACAGCGCAAACGTATTAGTTTAACAAAATCCGCGGCATAGATACGTTATTTTCCCCTGTGCAATTCTCCAACCCAGTCTCACATCTCACATCACATCGTCATAAACACCAGAAACAGACGTATGCAAGATCCTCAGCTCGGTGATTGGACGGTTTAGCCGCAATGCACGTTGGGAAATGGTGTTTATTATCTGAAAACAGGAAGAACTGCTGCCAAAACTGAAAACGTGACGTGGATCATTACATTACATTACATTACATGTCACTTGTTAGATGCTTTTATCCAAAGCGATTTACATACTCAATACTGTGGGCAATCCCCACAGGAGCAATTTGGGGTGAAGTGTCTTGCCCAGGGACACAACGACATGCTGACCTGCAGTGGGGTTTGAACCTGTGCTCCCCTGATCCGAACACCAACGCACTATTCCACTGTGCCACACGCCTCCCCGATCATAAATATATCAGCAGTTAAACAACATCTTAGATTTCTTTTCACACAATACGTCTCCTTGCAGTATCAACACTAATTCGGCTGACTTTTATATTTGATCCAATTGGTAGATAGGCTGTATTTACACCATAACGGTGCACAGCTGATAGAAAGGGACACCTACTGGTTAAAGCACGTTATTGCATTTTATTATTTTATTATTAGATATTAATAGGATCCCTATAAAGTATATTCATTACTCGTTATTCTCTACTAATAGTTAATTAAAGACTGTATATAATGACTATTTTGCACATCCCTTTCAAGATTTCAAGATTTTCTAAGGTTTATTGACATATCAATCATATCATATACACAACGGTGTAGTTATGCAATGAATGAAAAACTTGGGTCGCAGGTCCTCAACAGTGCATTACAAGACATCTATCAATATGTACCTCCAGCAATGTTAACTATGTTGAACAGTGGCGGCCGACCCATAGGGGCGCTAGGGGCGCCGCCCCCCCCTCTTCCCACATTAAAAAAAAAAAAAAAAAAAAAAAAAAATATATATATATTTAAAAAATATATTTTTTATTTTTATTTTTATTTTTAATAAACAAGGTAAATATTATAATTGGTATCAGTAAAATGTATAATCTACAATAAAATCTCGTTTAAAATTGTGTTACGATGTCTAAAGTTACTGATAAGTCACATGTTTCCTGCCTGGCCTTGCCCGTGTATCATTACTCCCTCTCGTCTGGGCGCTAGCACAGCGCCCAGACGAGAGTGCAGCAAGTGCAGCAGAAGCCAACTGTTGCTATCTTTAAACTATGCCGCCGAAACATAATTTCAGCCAATCAGCGTCGTCAAATCTGATGGTCACAGGGCTCCTAGGTCAGCGCCCGGTGCAGTCTGTGAGTTGTTTGGACTCGTATCCAAGGAGACAAAACAGGAAGCTGTCATACACTCTGGAAGCTACCATTAGCAGCTAATAAAATCAATCAATCAATCATTTTTTTCAAAGTGACAGACACATTGGATTAACCTTCAGCTGCGTTTTTCTCGTTTTTGATCAGAATTGTTATTCTGCAAAAGGTGAGCATATCTCCGTGTTTTGCTACCTAAAGCTACGTCGTGTGATGGTCTGTATTTGCTTCCCCTGTCGCGAGTTGTGATCGCTCAGTGATGATACTTATATTTGTTTGTGCATATCCGATAAGTATATCGATTGATTTATACCTAGAGTGCGTTAGCATTTTTTTCGCTCAGGGCTCATTTAGACGCTTCTTGTGAGACTTGTGTTTTGTTTCGGTAAACATGGTTCATATCATCAGTTAGCTGCGTTTCCTCTGAGTAGGACACATGAATAGTTTATTACATTTTAAGAAGCCCTGAGACACAGTTTCGTGAGAAAAAAAACGGGGGAAAAAAAGCCCCTTAACAGGTTAAATGGGAATTAAATCATTTTAAGTAATTTTGAGTGTTCTCAAAGCCCCGGTGTTCTGCAGGTTGTGTGGGCCTACTGTACTGTTGCACAGTTTATGCTGTAGAAAACTATGTCCAGGACAAGGTGTTTGGAAGTTTTGGAAGATTCATAGCTAACCACACTGAAGTTATGGAGGTATTGATCAGTCTTCTCATATGTTTAAGCCTCAAATTGTCCTTCCCCACCCCCCCCCCCCCCCCCCCCCCCCCCCCCCCCTCTAACATCACCAGAAGTCATAATTTAGGGGGTCTTTTCTCAACAAAAAAAAATTACCGGGGGAACATCCCCCCGGATCCCCCTAGTATTGTTTGATCACCATTTCCACAGCCCCCACCTAAAATATTTTCCACCAGCCGCCACTGATGTTGAAGCATTTATTTTAACTGATATTATACATATGTATTACTCTTATAAGATGTATGTAGATAGTATAAGAAATGTGCAGAATATGACAGTTTAATGGTGGAGGTATACACACATATTGATAGATGTCTTGTAATGCACTGTTGAGGAACCTGCGACCCAAGTTTTTCATTCATTGCATAACTACACCGTAGTTGTGTATATGATATTATATGTCAATAAACCTTAGAAAATCTTGAAATCTTGAAAGGGATGTGCAAAATAGTCATTATATACAGTCTTTAATTAACTATTTGTAGAGAATAACGACGAGTAAAGAATATACTTTATAGGGATCCTATTCATATATAATAATACATTTGTAAAATGCAATAACGTGCTTTAACCAGTAGGTGTCCCTTTATATCAGCTGTGCACCGTTATGGCGTAAATACAGCCTATCTACCAATTAGATCAAATATAAAGTCAGCCGAATTAGTGTTGATACTGCAAGGAGACGTATTGTGTGAAAAGAAATGTAAGATGTTGTTTAATTGCTTATATATTCCAGTTTTCAGTTTTGGCGGCAGTTCCTGTTTGTCTAGAAGTCTTGTCATCAGGGCTCTATACATAGAGTTAACTACGGCAGATATGTCATATTTAATGCAGCCGAAACGTGTATTACAATGCCGTTATGTGATGACTTTCAAAGAGAAAAACAAGCACACTCGGAATAATGTATTATTTAATTTTTGTATACAGTCTATGGTTGCTACAGAGGATTGTGGGTAATGTCCGTCAAACTTCCGGGTCCCTCCATGGGACCTTATTTCGGAAAAAGTATGCATTGAAGTCAAAATGATTATTTTGAATTGTGCCACGAATTACACATATGATGTTTGTCAATCTTAAATAATAATTTCCATGTCAAAAAAGTTCACAGTTTGTCGTAAAACTGTTGAAATATAAGACTATGAAATGTGTGTGTATGTACAGCTCTCAACATGCCCAGACTTGTAGTGATTTTCACCTCTTTTAATACTTTTAATACCACATTACGTCAGTGACGTAATGTGGTATTAAAGGCGGGCGCGCATCAAACGTGTGACGTCACACGTTTGATGCGCGCCCGTGATTGAAAATCTCTTTATTTAAAAAATACGAGGAATACGGATCTCGGGGTCTCCCTGCTCCCTGTGCGCAGATGCGACACGTCACATGACGTCACATGTTTGGCATGTCTCGATTGAATATGCTTTATTTAAAACAAAACAAGGACAATAAACAAAGCAGTCTTCACAACGGCCGGACAAAATACTTTGAGCCGCCCTATAGCCAAAGCCCGAGACACTGTTTAAAGCATAATAAAGACAATATATAGAAAGCATAATGGAAAATAACGTATCTATGCCACAATTATAGATGCCGGGGTAGCAATAAAGATAACACCATTAAACAGTTACACAACACAACAGACATAATATCGATAGCAGCGTCCCTAGCAACCACCTTGGTAACAATGAAAACGTTGTATTTACACAATTCCTGAAGTATTCTTCGTAATAACTAGCAAACTAAAGATCATGTACATCCACTTGCACACATAATCTGAAATAACAACTCATATTTCTCGCATCAAATGACATCAAAACGCATTTTAATGGCCAAATAACCTAAAATAGGCATTTTCTACCGAGAATAGAACGAAGGTCGGCCATGTTTTTTTATTTCTGCGGAGAGAGAAAGTTGAAGATCACGTGACATAGACGCCAGCCATTGGAAATGAATGGTGGAAAAAAACGTAGGGATCCTACAATTTCAGAGGCGTTTTTGTAGAAATACTACATCCCAAATTGTGGACCAACGTAGTTATTACACGTTTAGATGTGAGACTGGGTTGCACACACCCCCCCGCTCTCGGGGTGGACGCCCTCTCAGCCCCTGGTCTGGCGGAAACACTGGATAGGATATAGTAAATCTGCAGACTCATCATATACACTACACATCTTTTTCTTGGATTTTTTAACACCATAGACCCTAATATATTTGTAGAAAGGCAGGAAATGGAATTAAATCGAGAAAATGTTTCATTGCGGAGGACCCCCTTGTTTTGTGTCCCCCCCACTTCTCAAACCAAAACCAAACCAAAGTTACACCCTTGGGTGGAGGAGATCTGTGAGGTACTGAGGGGAGAGGGCATGGAGGGACTTGTAGGTGACGAGGAGGAGTTTGTAGGTGATGCGGGGCCTTGACCAGGAGCCAGTGGAGGTTGAAGAGAGTGGGGGTGATGTGCTGCCAGGGCTTGGTGCGTGTTGAGAACCCTGGCAGCTGGCAAGCTTTTATACCACTGATACAATGATACTATAAATGCATATTGAAATATCCTTGTGGCAGCAGGGTGTTAGAGCGCCGGCTGCTGGAGTGGCTCAGCCGGAGGCCAGGACAGCTGATCGGAATCAGGTAATAAGTCACTACATAAAAGCATGCTGGTAACCTGGTCCCTCTTGCAGTATGCTGGGTCCTGAGAGGACGGACCGATTACAACACCTCCCTGAATAAGGAAGACTGTGTTGTTTTTCTGTTGTTTGCCTAAGTGGCTGACTTTTTGGAATAAACTCTGTTTTGTTTTTGAACCCTCTCCTTCCGTCATTTTTAAACAACGCGTGAGCCTGAACGCTCATAATCCTTAAATAATGTTAGCTTGCTGTTTTCTGCTTGCCTTTGTTCTGTACATACTGCACACATGATATTATTAAAGGATATATTAGATTATATAAAAAACTGGATCCTCTTCAGGTTACAGCAGAAGAAACTCTTACTCTGTGTCTGAGGGTCCAGGTTCATCACTGAAGTCTGGAGGAAAGTCTTTAGACCGGTCACTCTTCAGAGACAGACAGCTGGGGACTGGAGACTCTGCTCTCTGTCTTGTGGAAACAACACATGTTTTAAACATCATTAGTTAATTCAGAGAGCACAGTTTGACTTCTGTCTGTATGTAGATTATTTGCTATCGCTGATGACGCCAGGGATCAAGAGTTTTAAACTTTGTTAAAGTACTCTACTAAATGTCTTTACTGCGATCATTAAAGAACAGTTTAGATTATCAGATAACAGAAGAGCAAAGAGCAGTAGTATGTAGATTTGTTATTATCGCTGATGACGCCAGGGATCATGAGTTTAAACTTTGTTACTGTACTGTTACTAAATGTCTTTACAGCGATCATTAAAGAACAGGTTAGATTATCAGATGACAGAAACACTGGATCCTCTTCAGGTCAGGTTACAGCAGAAAACTCTTACTTTGTGTCTGAGGGTCCAGGTTCATTACTGAAGACTGGAGGAAGCCAGTATTTAGACCCGTCACTCTTCAGAGACAGACAGCTGGGGACTGGAGACTCTGCTCTCTGTCTGTGGAAACAACACATGTTTTAAACGTCATTAGTTCATTTAATGAGCACATTTTGACTTCTCTCTCAAAACGCATCAATGACAGCGACCCTCTACCACACAAAACAACACCTGTGAACCCAATGTGTGTTCTTTGACATTGAAAAGGATATTGCATTGTGTTTGTTACTTTCGTTGCAGTTGTATGTCTTAAGTGTAATTTGGCATGCTTTTATTTTGAAGGCGAGTTCACGCTGTTGACAGGAAGTTGTTGTTGCTATGGACACAAGAAAAGTTTCACAGCGGGCGGAACTTGTCATAAAGTCCGCGATAATAAAACCCACCCATTTAGAGGGAAGATATGATTGGTCAATTGTACTGTCATTTGACATTACTCTCTCGTTCAGTTACTATAGCAACCCTCTGTGAATCGCAGAGAGGGCCAGACGAGCTTCTTTCATGTAACCCTTCACATTCAACAGAGACTGAACAGGCAGATTCGAAGGATTCATTTATTTGGAAATGTTATTTTAAATACAATTAAATCAAGTTTTTTTTCGGTAAAACTAATGAAAAATATAACAAAAATAATATTAAAAAGATATATATTTAAAAACAATATATATTTTTTAAATGTTTTTAAATATTAGTTTTTGGAATATCTTAGGCCCTCACAGAGGGCCTAGAGGGCCCTGACGGCTCGCCACTGGTTACTAAGTTTCTTCACTGCGATCATTAAAGGACAGGTTAGATTATCAGATAACAGAAGAGCAAAGAGCAGATTTTGACTTCTGTCTGTATGTAGATTTTTTACGATCGCTGATGACGCCAGGGATCATGAGTTTAAACTTTATTTTCTGTACTCGACTGAGTTTCTTTACTGCGATCATTAAAGAACAGGTTAGATTATCAGATGACAGAAACACTGAATCCTCTTCAGATCAGGTTACAGCAGAAACTCTTACTCTGTTTCTGAGGGTCCAGGTTCATTACTGAAGACTAGAGGTTGATGTTTAGACCAGTCACTCTTCAGAGACCAGACAGCTGGGGACTGGAGATGTGTCCTCTTCCTCATCTTCTAAATCACTCATCTTCTCCAGTCTGAGAGAGAGAACACACACACACACACACACACACACACACACACACACACACACACACACACACACATACACACACACACACACACATTATAATAACACACTGGTTTAAATCTAAACCAGCAATAATAAACTTGGTTAAAGAACATCAAATCAATCAGACTTCAGACATGCCGCCCTCCATTTTGACTGCGCTGGGCTGTCGCATGTTATGTTGCTTTGATGAATCAGAAAACAGGAAATAATAAAGTTTACACCACTTGTAGAAGTCTCATTGGACTCTAGGACGCTGATGTTCTGACATCCAGTTAAAACAGAGTAAATAATGTTGTTAGAAAGCAGATCCTGGTGTTAACACTCACCCTGTTCTCCTCCTGCTCCGTCCAGGTGTAAAATGGCATCTGGTAGTCTGACTTCATACTTGGACTTTAACACCCTCACCTGTCTGCATCTCCACCTCTTGAGTCATAACCAGCCTTATCAGCTGAACCAGTTCACACACAGGGACTTTGTTCAGTGAGATGTAAATAGAGCTAAAAACAAGCTCAACAAAGTTATGGAAATAAATATATTAAAACCACAGTGTGAAAATAACACAGTAAACATCCTGCATTCAATATATATATATATATATATATATATATATATATATATATATACAATTATGAGTATTTAAGCTATATCTAATTTTGGAACCCAGGACTCTTTCTATTGCTCAATGTCTTATTTCAGACTGTAACAATGATCACAATGCATTAAATACTTTAAAACAAATATAATATTTAATCAACTACTCAAAATCAGATCAATCAAATAATCCCTCTCATTTAGAGCTAATGGTTGTCAGTCCAATCTCACATCACTTCAGTCGTTGTAGCTCTCCAGAACCACACTCTGCTTTCAGCTTGGTGAAGAAACATAAATATACTGTCCTACCATTAGCCGCTTTCCACACCAAGAACTTTGCCGTACTTAGTTCCCGGTACTTAGTCCCGCCGAACTCTTTAGTCCCGGAACTGTCCTATATGGAAGCAAACAAGAGACAGAAGTATTTTAATTTTATTAGACACCGAATTTATAGCATTGAAAATAATTACTTTGAAAATCATGTATCTGAATTTTTGTGAAATAAAAATGTAAAAATGTTAGTTAAAAAAATTTGAATGTTCAAATTCAGATCCCAAAAATTCAAGTGAAAAAAATTTGAATGCACAATTTCGGTGTATAAAATTCGATGTCAAAAATGTCGGTGTATAAAATTCGACGTCCAAAATTGCGATGCAGCATCATCCGGGCTACTCAGACAGGATAAGCAATCGAGCCCGAATGCAATCAAACCGACTTCTGGCCTATCAGAGCACGGCTTTGTCAGTCATAGGATCACAACAACCCGGGAGAAAAATGACGGAGAACAGTGGGGCTCGGGTAAGTAGTCAGTTTGTGCTCTTTATTTTACAAGCAGTGAGGGCTCGACAGCACTTGTATCTTACAGTAGCTTGCTAAATGAGTGAAGTAGCCTTGTGCCTTGCTGTTAGCAAGCTCCGTAGTTATCATTAATTGAAGTGAATCACAACGTTACCGTGTCCTTCTGTGTGTGTGGGGGGGGGTGACGGTTTGCAAAGTAACGTTACGATCACCTCGGTTAGATAAGTCAAGTAGACCATGCTACACTATACAAATACTCTCTTACAAAAGCCCTGCATTTAAACATGTTAATGTTACTTTAGTAAAAGTATGCTAGTATAATTAGGAAAGTGTTGTTAAAGTATTTAGAGGTAGGGTAGGTAAGTTTGAGAAACCGGCTCGAGATACACTTTTTGTTATATTCCATGGAATGCTCTTAACATCCCGATAGCAATGAATATCTGAAGTGCTTTGACAAAAAATCCATTAATAAATATCATCAGTGGAAGCCGTAGTACTGTAAAAAGCACGACCAATCATCTGAGCCGGCCCGGCTAAAGTAACTGGATGGCCTACCTGCCTGTCAGCCTTCCATCTGTGCACAACTTATCTCGTGCCCTCATTGGTCATGTGCGTGTTCGTGTGTGTTGGAGGAGGGGCTCTGTAAGGAAGTGGCAGATTTTCTCCGGTTGTGTATTTTCAAATTCTAGCGATCTCGAGCCGGTTTCTCAAACTTACCTACCCCACCTTTAAGTAGACACAAGTTATACTATTATATTATATCATTTGTTTTATTGTTATTACCGATGCAAGAGTTGACTTAACTGTGTGTAGTTGGAGCTCATTTTGAACAATGAGCTAACTAATGATTACTTTCATCATGGTTTAATGTGCTGGCTATTTTCTACATTAATAGATGAAGGTCTGGTTTTGTTCAAACTCTCAAGATAGTAGGACATGCTGTCATAATTACCTAGAGTCCGAAGTGACACCTTTACAATGTTAAAGCTGTTAGATAAATGTAGTGATGTAAAAACTAAAATATTCAAGATAGTGTAGTGGAAAAGAGATAATGTTTTAAAAACAAGTTACTAAAACAAAATCTCTTGTTTTGGACTGACAGTAATGACTCAAGAAATAGTAGATAATAAATACACACACATCAATCTGTGCATTTGTTGTGGATGGAACAACAAATGGTGCTCTTACCTGTGATGCCTCCTCCAAACATTATAACCAGACTGTATCCTTCAACTATAAGTAACAGTTCTAGCTACTTGACTTCAGACAAACAATTAAAAAGACAAAAACAACACAATTTATTGAAAGACCAATCTTTATTTTACGGTGCCTCTCCTTTTGTTTGTATTATTAAACCCTGTCAATCTAAAAAACTGAGCAACTCAACAGTTAACTTTATATTTCTTATTGTCCAAAGCATCATCCATTACACTATTTGTTCCCCTCTCATATTCAGAGGATGGATGATTAGAGACTTTGGGGGAAACCTCAGCTTTATGAACGTCCTGTCTGTTGGTTTGGCCAGAGAGGACCGAGGGTCTTTCCCTGCGAGGAGGACCAGGCCTGAGGGAGGAGGACCTGCACCAGCTGCACCTACAGAACTTAGCCCATGCTGGGCATAGCTGTTGCCACCTGCACAGGCCTAGCCTGTCAATTAACAGATTAACATTTAGTGTAACTTATGTATATTATTTTGTTTTTATTTTTAAAAATGGTGATGGTTCATGCTTGATAACTTTTAGTTCACATTTCAATAAATTGTATTTGTACTCCTTTTGTCCGTTATTCTTACTGAAAATGTTAAATTACACATTCACATCTGACTGGAGATTGGCACCATTCATTTGTGACGTTGCAAACTCTGCGGTACAAGGTACAGGTGTTGTGAAGCTCATAAAGTGAAGCAAATGCATTTGATCAGCCGACTGACCAAACTTTATAGGCCTGACAATAATCACACTGTCTCTGAGGTAAAACACAAAACAACACAAAAATGAAGTTCCTGTTAGACTACAAAACTAGTCAGTGTGCAGGTCTTTGTGTTACAATATAAGTGTCTCTTAGTGAATGTCCTGTACTGCTCTTAAATCTCATAACATCAGCTTTTCCTTTCCCTCTTGGATGTTCTTCTGGACCCTCAGAGGAAGAGAAAATGGTGAAGCAGTCCTGTCTCTCAGGCATGTCCTTTCCTAACAGAAATATCAAAAAACATATTATTGCAGAGCAAGTGTGTTATTTAAGAAAGAGGTGTGTTTGTTTGTTCAGGGGCTATAAATATAATGATTTTTTTTATTTGAATGTGTTTTTTAAATCCAACAGTGTACTACAAAGATAATCAGATTATGAATAAACCGTTCTAAATTCATCAACATTGAAATAATGTATTATTAAAATAATATTTAACTTATCAAAACGTAGTGCAACTGTAGAAGCTTGCTATGTTCAGTTGTCTCACTGAAAGAATCACTTTTAACATGTTTTTTTTACAGTCAATATGCAGAGACAAAGGATCGTAGTTCTCACTATGTTCAATAATATTTGCCTTAAATACATTGAAATGTGAAAGTTGAACAAACAAGTTATGTTGCTTGGTAAAATGTAAATGTAACCTTTTGCTAAGAAGTACACTCAACATCACTGATGTGTAGGTGATCTAGTATTTAGTCATGTTTAATGGCATGTATATCTGTATTTGAGTCATTACTTTATGCATTCTTTGTAAAGTATGAAAAAGGTGTACTTTGGAATCCGTGCTGAAGTTCTCTGCTGTTAGGAGTCCAGATCTGTCTCTCCTCCTCTGGTCCAGCCTGTCTGGATCACCTGAAGGACACTTTGAACAAACAGATGTAAAGTTACATGCGTGGGTTACAGACTTCTTTACATGCAAACAACTTTCTATCTTCTTTTAAAAATAGGTCATAATCTTATCGTTATACTTAAGAAATGGCTGGATATCACAGTCCTTATACTGTATCTTATCAGTTTGATTGAGTATTATTGTGTAGGTCCTTTTTATTTTACTGTTACTTTGGATGAGTTTTTCACGAGTCAGTCAAATTAATTTGTTTTCATATGCCATATTCATATGTATCACACACGTAAGGGTAAGACACAAACCTATTTAACAAATGCAATGCAATGGATGAGCTTAATTTTCACTGAAGTCACAGATAACGTCATATCTAATATTTAAACAAATCATTTCCTTGTCACTAAAGCATTGACTACGCTATTCATGGTCCAACAGTTAAGCCCTGAGCCTGTTTTTTCAGGTTTCAGGCTCGAAAATGACATGCCCAGACAAATGACTATAACTTCACTTCTAAAAGGGTTAAATTAATAATCTTTTTTCTCAAAGCAAGGTTACATCTGTGAGTTGGATGTAGAAGTGTCAGAATCAATATAGATGTTTCTGTGTCAGAGTAAATTCAGATGGAACATTGTAAAAAAAAGGTAAATTCTTACCTCCGCCTACAAAAAACCC